TGGTATTATCTGCATATCTGAGGTTGTTGATATTTCTCCCAGCAATCTTAATTCCAACTTGTGATTCATCTAGCCCCACCTTTCTCATGATATGCTCTGCATATAAGTTAAATAGGCAGGGTGACAGTATACAGCCTTGCCAAACTCCTTTCTCAATTTTGAACCAATCAGTGGTCCAGTTCTTACTGTTGCTCCTTGATCCGCATATAGGTTTCTCAAGAGACGAATAAGATGGTCAGGTACCATGGTCAGGTACCATCTCTTTAAGAACTTGCCACAATTTGTTCTGATCCACATAATCAAAGGCTTTAGCATAGTCAATGAAGCAGAAGAAGATGTTTTTCTGGAATTCCCTAGTTTTCTCCATGATCCAGTGTATTTTGGCAATCTGATCTCTAGTTCCTCTCCCTCTTCGAAATCCTACCTGTACTTCTGGTAGTTCTCAGTCCACATACTGTTGGAGCCTAGCTTGTAGCCTCTTCAGCACCAGTGGTTGGGGCATAGACTTGGACTGTTGTGATGCTGAATGGTTTGCCTTGGATTTGAACTGAGATAATTCTGTCATTTTGGAGATTGTATCCCAGTACTGCTTTTTATTAACTATGAAGGCTACTCCATTTCTTCTGAGGGATTCTTGCCCACAGTAGTATTCCTGATGGTCATCTGAATTAAATTCACCCATTCCTGTCCATTTTAGTTCACTGATGTCGATGTTCAGTCTTGTCATCTCTTGTTTTACCACATCCAGCTTGCCTTGATTCATGGATCGTACATTCCAGTTTCCTATGGAGTAGAGATCTTTGTGGCATCAGACTCTTCTTTCACCACCAGATACATCTGCAACTGAGTGTCCTTTGACCATCACTTCATTCTTTCTGGTGCTACTAGTACTAGCCCTCTGTTCTTCCCCAGTAGTATATTGAACACCTTCCAACCTGAGGGGCTCATCTTCCGGCGTCATACCTTTTTGCCTTTTGGTACTGTCCATGGGGTTTTCATGGCAAAGATGCTGGAGTGGGTTGCTATTTCCATCTCCAGTGGATCACGTTTTTTCAGAGCTCTCTGCTATGACCTGTTTGTCTTGGGTGTTCCTGCATGGCATAGCTCATAGCTTCATTGAGCTACACAAGTGCCTTTGCCATGACAAGGCAGTGATTCATTAAGGAGGCATATTTTCTACCATTCTACAATTTACCATTTTCATATTCCATTTCATAGAAACAAAATTATATTTGGAGGGAAAATCATGCAAAAAGAACATTTTGGCATTTTTTTTTAAAAAAATGGGTGGGTGGATGGGTAGTGAGAGGGGTTCTAATGTTTACCATAACTATGAGGTGTCTGAAGGGATGTATGAGCCTTCAATGTTTCACTCTGGTGGTCTGTAGCCTCCTGAATTGCCATTCTTCAATGAAAATCCATCATGAAGGAACTCCTCCCATGACAGGTGGGGGTGGTTCAGATTTTAAGTGCTATAATGCTTCTACTGCCTATAATCAGGTGTGTTTAGGTGCAGAGAGGATGGAAAAGAAACAACATTTCACTGCATCTGTCCAAAACCTGCTGTAACATACTTGCTCAGCTCTTCCAAAACAAAATCTCTTAGGCCTGCCAAGACTCCAGTTAAATCAATTGAATCAGGCAAGAAACCCAGAGCATAGCCTGATTCCATTTGCTTGAATGAGTTTCAGTTGGTACACTTAGAAGGTGTTAACAAGGTGCTTGGACAGGGAGGTAATTACTCCCTGCTTGTGAGAGACACTACTCCTATGCTGTCTGAAAAGGAAAGCATTGAGAGCATTATTAAACAAATCCTCTGGGAACTGAGCAAATCCTAATAACTTTAGGGCAGTGAAAAATATTTCCTTCCTGGAGTGGGTTATGTCTAGCTTCAGACATGCTCAGGTGGGACTGGTTATCTGGATCCATTTCAGTCCAGATTCAGGCTGCATTTTGGTATGGAAGCAGCTTTGCTTACCTTGTATAATGACCTATGTCAGGAGGGATAGAGTAGTGTGACCTTCTTGGTACTTCTGGTTCTCTCAACAACTTTCTATATCATTGACCATGGCAACTTCCTAGGATGACTGTCTGAGCTGACAGCATAGGGTGCTGTGCTACAGTGTTTCCACTCCTCTCTGGATGGCTGGTTCCAGAATTATTTATTTATTTATTTAGGAAATTTATAGGCCGTCCATCACTGTTGTCTCTGGATGGCTTACAGGATAATATGAATCCTAAACAAAATTAATTGGCTATGCCACGAACTGAGCATAACAATGACATAGTTAAAATAAATTAGATAAATAAATATACAATTAAAATTGATTAACATTAAAATATTGATCAAATAATAAGGTATTGACCTGGCACTGAAAAGCATATAATGACGGTGCCAGGTGGACCTCTCTAGGGAGCGCATTCCATAGTCGGGGCGCCATCGCAGAGAAAGCTCTCCTCTGAGTACTCTGCCTCCTGACCTCTTTCAAAGAGGGTTCCTGGAGGAGGACCTCTGCTGCTGATCTTAGGGGGCGGGAGAGGATATAGGGAAAAAGGTGTTCCTTTAGGTACCCTGGTCTCAAGCCATTTAGGGCTTTATAGGTAGTAACCAGCACCTTGAATTGAGCCGGGACTTCAATGTGAAGCCAATGGTGCTGATAGAGGACTGGAGTTATGTGAGAATAATTACCAGTCCCCAACAGCATCCTGGCAGCAATATTTTGCACCATCTGAAGTATCCAGACTGTCTTCAAGGGCAGCCCCATGTAGAGAGCGTTACAGTAGTCCAAGAGGGAGGTAACCAGTGCATGTGTCATTGTTGCTAGGTAGTTCTCCTCCAGGTAAGGATGCAGCTGGTGGATCAACTGGAGCTGAAGGAAAGCACTCCTCACCACCGTCATCATCTGGGCTTCCAGGGACAGTTCCAGGTCGAGGAGCACTCTTAAGCTGCGGACCCTGTCCTTTAGAGGGAGTGCAACCCTGTCCAGGGCAAGGCCCAAGTCACTTACCCAGAAACTTGAATCACCAGCAGGACCTCTGTCTTATCTGGATTGAGCTTCAGTTTATTGTCCCTCATCCAGCCCATTACGTCAGCCAGGCACTGGTTCAGGACAGTCACTGCCTCACCTGGATTAGTTGAAAAGGAGAGGTAGAGCTGGGTGTCATCAGCATACTGATGACTCCACAGCCCAAACATCCCGATGACTTCTCACAGCAGTTTCATGTAGATGTTAAAAAGCAAGGGGAACAAAATGGAACCCTGCGGTACTCCATGGCAGAGTTGCCATGGCGCAGAGGCAAAGTCCCCCAGCACCACCTTCTGGAATAGGCTGGCAAGGTAGGAGAGGAACCACTGCCAAGCAGTGCCTCCTACTCCCAATCCCGCCGGCCTATCTAGAAGGATACCATGGTCAATGATATCGAAAGCCACTGAGAGATCCAGGAGAACCAACAGGCATGCACTCTCCCTGCACAGGTCATCGTACAGGGCGACCAAGGCAGATTCAGTACAGTAACCAGGTCTGAAACTGGACTGAAATGGGTCCAGATAATCAGTTTCATCCAAGAGTGCTTGGAGTTGTCCTGCTACCACCCGCTCCAACACTTGCCCAGAAATGGGATGTTGGCTGAGGTCAGAATCCTGCAACTTTTGTGGTTCTTAATAGGGGTGGTTATGGGCAGGGGAAGATATGGTGCTGGGGATTTAACATGTCATTACAGAAGAAAGGATGGAAGATGGTTAGTATCTGTCCCCTCTTCTGGTTTTTCCCCCACCCAGACAATACCAGGTAGTGGTATCTAGGGAGGTCTGTTGCCAGCTGAGCACATGCATCTGGC